TAAATCTATTAGAATTGAGGTTTGGCCATCAGTGGGATTAGCCTGAAGTAGACCTCAAGGGTTATGATGGTATCTGAAGAACTGTTCTGCTGCAATATGAGTATGAAGGCATGTTTGAAGCATGGAGATCAGTCTGTGAGGGGCAAAAGTCATAGGAAATTTAAAAAATCAACTACTGTCTAAGACTATGATGCAGTGAGTCCACCTAAGTAGAGGAGTGGCACAGGCAGTGAGAACTGGGAAATTTTGGAAGCAAGTAGGAGGTCCCTATCCATAAGAACATAGGCACATCAGGAAGATGAAGGGGCAATACCAACTTCACAGGTAAGACACTAACAGAGTTCTTTATATTTCCTCTGGCAGAGTCAATGTTAACTCAAGGATAATAGACAGAAACAAACCAAGAGGAGCGGGGGTCAGGTCACCTCAGTTTCAAAGGTTAGCATGTTGCAGAGTCAGGGACATGAGAAAATCACAAAAAGTAAAGGCTGTATCTTTCATAGCATCACACAATTTTTAATATAGACTAAACCTATTGTTAGCTGCCACAGCAACCCTTTACACCAATGTTATAAATGCTTCCACTGCATTAAAGGTTTTTATGTTGTAAATTTGGACCTCAGGTTTGTGTTACGTTTATGTTAACCTCATGTTTATGTTATGGGCCTCATGTTCACGTGTTAAAATCCTAACTGTCAATGAGATGGTTATTAGAAGGTATTTGGGGGGTAATTAGGTCATGAGGGCAGAGCCCTCATAAATGGTATTGGTGCTTTTATAATGAGACACACAAAAACGCTTGCTTCCTCTCTCTGCTCTCTGCCCAGTGAGGATAAGTGAGGTTGCAAACCAGGGAGGAGACTTTGACCAGACCCTGGATCTGTCAGCACATTGATCATGAACTTCCCAGCTTCCAGAACTGTGAGAAAAAAATGTTGTTATTTAAGCCACCCAGTCTACATTTGTTATAGCAGACGCAACTAAGACAAGCATTTTCCTAAATTCCTAAATCTGGTGCTGAATTACAGACAATGGGTAATATTACACATGCAACATTTGCCCATTATCAAATTTCTGCCAATCCTTTTGACTGTATCCCTTACAGTCCTTACATTGTTGTAGGCAACCATCACCATATATGCATGCTTATTTGAAACTGATGTTTTACCAAGAAACCATTTTTCTTTCAGTTTCTTACAGCACAGGCTATTCATTCTCACATGCCCATTTTCACATAGTTCATGGTTCTCTCATGAACCATGAGAGCCAGGAGTTAACAATGACCTCCTCTTAGCTCCCTACTGCCGATTTTAGGGTATTGTAATGCCAAAGCACTTTTCCTTGGGTGCTCTGACACCTGGCTATTACATCCTCTGCTTATCTTTGCATCTGTGATCTGCAGACCTTGTGGTCACTCTAACACAATGGCTGCCAATGTTGGCTGCACATTAAAATTACCTGGAAAGCTTTTGAAATCTGCTCTTGCCAAGGTCCTATTTCACCAATTAAATGTATTTGAAGGGGCAGAGATTGTAATCCATATCTAGTTTTTTAACTGGTTTGGTGATTTCAATGTGAAGCCAAAGTTGAGACCTTTGTTCTAACCTAAGAATTGAGGATGCCAGCTCTTTGTTCATCAGTTTCCTCTTCATCCTAACTCTTGCTATCATCCTGGAATCTTAATGTTCAAGAGTACAACCTGTCCAACACTCTGGGTCCTAGTTCCTTGACCAGTTCAACTCTAACAACATGTTTCTCAATTTCACTTCAGCTTTTAGACATACTCTATGAATTTATTATAACCTGAGCTGCATGACATCTGAGACACTAAATAAGCAAGAGTTTATGGCCTTGAACACTATAGTTCCAGCTTGCTGACTCCTTTTCCGTGTGACACTACGCCTCTACCTGGGCCCCGGTAGCTTGCTGCAACCTTGTAGAGGAGAACCTGCTTTCTAACTCTGCCAGTCTTCTGGTTCTACGTCCTTTCCGATTGGATAATCCTCTATGGTGCGTCACTATGGTAACTTTAACCTCTTGTGTTCCTTTCACATTCACAACTCCAGTTATATATTAAACCAAATCTGCCTCCTCTACTGCTATGCCTTAGATGCTGACAAGAGACTACTGAAGAAAAAAAATCCAACTGTACAGATTTATGCCACTTCCATTTTTATGGTATCCGAACAGCAGCTCCTAGAACTACTAAGGAATCTTTTCATATATCCTAAATGAGCCCCTATTTTCCTTACTCCAATGGTTATTATACTTCTTGTGCTCCTATCTCACTCCTTTTGCCCCTCACATTAGAAGTAAACCTTGCTTTTTGTTTTGGAGAACATAAAAATATCTTTAGTTTCTAGACTTCAACCCTTTATTAACTGATCTGCGTCCCTATCCACATTTACCTGTGTTAGAGGGGCACTGCTCTAAGCTCCATACTGCTGACATTTTTGGCCAGAGAATTCTTTGTTGGGGGAGCTGTTCTCTGCATTCTAGGATACTGAGCAACATCCATGACCTCTACTCACCAGATGCCAGTATTATCCCCCACCTTGCAGTTGAGAAAACAAAAAACATCTCCAACTATTGCCAAATGACTCCTGGAAGGCACAATCACTCTCAGTTGAGAATCCTCTGCTTGGAGCAAGACTAATCTGTCAATCTGTCTTTCCAATAAAGTATTTTCTGCTTTCTCCAAGATCCACTGTGCCCTTGGTGTCCTTTCTTTATCTATTTTCAACCTGAACCTGTCTATTGGCTTTGTCTCCTAAATATATAATTTTACATCTGTCCATTATTTAAAAAATAATTCATGGACACCAGGCCTCCCTTTAGCCACTGAGGAATCTTTTTTTATTCTTCAAAGTGAAGCTCTGAGAAGGGCTTCCATGAGCGTTCACATGCTGGGGCCTCATTCCACCTTTACTCTGCTCTTCAATCCTTGCTACTCTACTGATACTGGTGCAAAGCTACCAGGGTCCTCTGCATGACCAAATGCTTCGACAACCTAACTGCTTGGCTGTTTCCAGCTAGACTCTTCTTGAACCTCTCTACCTCTTCTGGCTTCCAGGGCACTTTTTTAAATGTTTATTATTTTTTCTTTTTTTCCTTTATTCTTTCTCAATCGTCTCTTAACTGTCCCTTAATACTAGTGTTTAACTGGGTTCTGTCCTTGGCCTTCTCCTCTTATAACTCTATGACATACTTTCTGGGCTCTGCCTTCATTACAAGCTTCCATTTACTGATATAACAGAACTAACACACTAATTCTCATTTGATTTTGAAGCTCTACATTCTCTCAAATTCCAATCCTGCATTACTGGCTCCCAGTGAATATTTCTCTCTGGGAGCACTACAGATACTACTAACAAATTGAGATATCTAAAACCGAGCTTGTCATCTCTTACTCTGCAAGGAATGGTGATTTCTTGCCCCTGTCTTCCCAAATCTTTCTTATTTATTTCATTACTTCTGTTGCACCACTGTTCATTCAGTTGTATAAGTCAAGACGCTTAGCAAAATCCTAGATTCCAACCTCACTAATAAAATCCAATCAATCATAAAATCCTGTCAATTACAGCTTATGTCCCCTGCCCTCCATCCCCACTAGTTCAGGTTTTCATATTTTATTTCCATGCATTCCGAATTTCCTTGTGCTAGGTCCTTAGCTACCTCAAATTCAACAACTATTCTGCTGCACTAGAATGACCTTTCTAACACGCAAATCTGTTCATGTCATTCCCTGAATTACCTCCTTCAGGGGATCCCCTTCGTCTGGAGTATAAAATCTAAGTGTTTTAGCAGAGTATGCTACGCTCTTCTGTGGCCTGGTTCCTGCATTTCTCCTGTCCTTCTCTCTATTAGAACTCATGCCCAGACATAATCATAGATCCCATAACTTACTTATGTTATTCCCTCTGCTGGAAAGTTTTTTCTAACTTCACTGACTTAACACATATTTGTGCATCCTAGATGCCTCAGGTCAAGTATTTCCTCCTTAGGAACTCTACATGGACTCCCCCAGGGTATATTTAAGAGGGTTTCTTCGTATGTGTTCCCAATATACTGTGTATATATCTTCATTACAGTTTCTACCAGAGTCTACTGGACTTGCTTGCTTGCAGGTGTGTACGCCAGCCTGTAAGCAACTTAAGGGCAAGTGCCTTGCCTACTCCTGAAACTCCTGTTTCAGTGGGGATTAATAGAGTGCATGGACGAAGGCATTCAATAAATACATGCTGAATGACTGAATGATACATGTCAGGTTCAACTGTCAAAAAAATTTATTTTGACATTGTAATGATATGTACATGAAATGTATTTGTAAAAAAAACCTATGTTGGTTCATGGAATCAAGCAGCAGTGAGGTTACTCAGTCTAAGGGAAGAGTTAATGTGGTATAATACAAGTTTAGTAAGCAGTACACATGACAGTACAGCGCTTATTAAACATTCCGGCCAAAGCACTGCTAACCTCAGAAGAATACTGATTAATATCCCCGAAGGGCTGATGACACAGACGGAAACACACGACAGTTCTCTGGCTGCTGTGGCTGATAATACATCCACATTCATTTTAACATAAAAACATTTAAAATTACTTCCAAGTAAAAGGAATGCTCCAGAAAGATAGAACATCTTAGTTTTGTGAACTCCAGTGACCTCCAGCATAAATGTTTACCTCCCAGGTGGGGCTGATGACACTGTCCGTACCACAGTTAAAGAAATAAGTGCAGAGTAGAAATAGCACCTAAAGCCACAAGTTCCACTTTGGGTCCTTGTACCATCACTTAGGCTGTGACACGGAGTCTACTTTAACCTCTCTGAGCCTCCTCAGTTTCCTTATCTGGAAAATGGCTATAATATTTGCCTTACGTATTTCATAATGATGTAGGTACCAAGACATAAAAAATAATGTGAACAATGAAGGATAACAAGCACAAAACATAAAGTAATATTTTATCCGGAGAGAGTGAAAATCAAAATACACATGCAAACACATATTCTTAAAAACATTTACCTTTTGAGGAGCTGGAGACTTTTCTATTTTAGTTTTTTCCTCAGGGCTTAAAGGCGGGGATCGCTCCTTTATCTCAGGAGGCAGTTCTTGATACAGTGCTGAAATTGGAGAAAGGAATTCATGCAATCAAACTGAGGAGCACTGCTTCATGGGGGAAAAACAATTGATGGTAGGGGCAAATACGAAATTAAAGAAATATTCAGTTCCTTGGTGTACCAATAAGATACCTAAAACTTACTTGTTATGGCAATTTGCAGTTTTACTCATTAGTTATCAAAAGAACTATGATTGGAAAATTTTAATCATCTGGATTTCAGAAAGGTAGAAGGTGTCATTTTCACTTATTATGTGGTCAGACAGATGCTTATTTTATCTCAATACACATTTACCAGGAACCTGCTAAATGCCAGGATATCTGCTAGGAACTGCTGGAGAATATATGGAGATCATCAAAAGATGGTCTCCACTAGCAAGGAGCTTACAATCTGGTCAGAGAAAGACATCTTTACAAGTAACTATAAAATAAATGTGACATTATTTGAAAGTGAAATAATTACAAAGACAAACTCTGATGTGGGGATGGAAAACGCTTAATGGAAGAAGTGGTAGGTGTATCAGACTCTGAAGACTAGGTAGGATTTTACCAGTCAGAGGTATGCAGAAAAAATAATTTGGGGGCAGGGCACAGTGGCTCATGCCAGCACTTTGGGAGGCCGAGGCGGGCGGATCACTTGAGGCCAACAGTTTGAGGCCAGGCTGGCCAACATGGCGAAACCCCGTCCCTACCCAAAAATATAAAAATTAGCAGGGCGTGGTGGCGTGCACCTGTAGTCCCAGCTTTGGGAGGCTGAGGCATGGGAACTGCTTGAACCTGGGAGGTGGAGGTTGCAGTGAGTCAAGATAGCACCACTGCACTCCAGGCTGGGAGACAGGCAGAGACTCTGTCTCAAAAAAAAGGAAAGGATAATTTGGGAAGATGATATGAAATCAATAAGCATGGAGTTAGGACTCTATATGATGTTGAATCTATACACAGTGTTGAATTTAAGACTCTTATAATTCAATATTCTATGTAATCTATTGAAGCTACATAGGGTATTGAATCTAAAGAGCTATGTGCAAATTTTGAAGGGTTAAAACAAAAATATATTTTGGTTAAGAACATCTCTGAATTGAAAGAAATTACTGAAATATACTTGATCAAAATTGTACAACTAAAATTATGAGATATACTAATTGTCTTCGTATGTGGAGTGGTTTTATTATTGGGTTTCTTTATCTCATATTTTAAGGGTGTTAGATGCGATGGGGGAAGCTGATCATGTTGTTCTTTCCAGCGCCTTAAGATACAAAGAGAATAAGTTCTTTATAATAGTGGGAGTATGAACTTCTTTTATTGTGTTGTTCTCTTAGAGGACAGGCTCTCAATTGAACAGTGGGTGGAGATTCTGCTCATACACTCCTTTAGATCATTTACTTTGCATAGTTGGCTTCAGATAAAGATCAAGGACAATTCTTCCTACTATTTTTAGACTAGAATATGCTACTGACAGTCATTTTTTTCTCCAAAGTTAAAACTGGGCAATTGAGTTTTTTGTTAAATTCAGGTAAAAAAAGGATAAAAGGGAAAGGGAAATAACCCCTAATGAAGTGTGAGAATTCAATCATTACAGTCTCAGATTTTCTAAGTTTTTTTTTCCCCCCCTGTTTGTTCTAGTCTATACGAGGCTTTTTAAAGCAGCAGTGACTGATGCCAAAAGAAAACATAAATTATTCTGGGATACAATAAAGAATTATGGCAGTTGAAGGATGGTCATTACTGAGACAAATAATTAATTTCTTTATGTAGCCATCAACTCATCACTGCAATATGCCTCAGAGGTCTGGCTTTGATCATTATGGAAGAAGAACAAATTTTATTAGCTTTTAAAATGAATTTATTTTCTGTGGAGATGAGTCTTGTTATATTGCCCAGGCTGGTCTCAAACACTTGGGCCTCAAGTGATCCTCCCTTTTCAGCCTCCTGAAGTGTTGGGATTACAGGCATGAGCCACTGCATCTGGCCTTATTAGCTTTTCAATTCACTGTAGCTCAAACATCTATATCTTCTCAAGATCTGCAAGCCTAAGAGGTTATTTTTGTAAACTAGATTCTCAAGTTAAAGCACTTAATTCCACCCTGCCTAGAGACACACAAGTGAGAAAATTTAAAAAATATTTCCACTTGTATACGAAAATAATAATGGATTCTAATATTTCATTAAAATGAGGCATACTCCAGAGTGACCACGATTGTGCTGGCAGCTGTTGATTTAAAAAGCTTGATTTAAACAGAAGCTACCCCTGTTTAACCTCAGCTGTTGACCCTGTGGGAGAGCCAACGATGGGAAGAAGGAACTTGGCTATTTTAGATGATCTGGAAGTTAAAAGTACTGAACTTATGGAACTTATACACTGTCTTATGCCTACATGGGAATTAACCTGTCCTAAAATTTCTTCCTTTCATACGGCCTTATGTTTTTTCCATTATACAACCTCTTCTAAACACAAAAATATACCTCTAACAGAGTTTAAGAGTTGTATGTCAAAATTAGCTGGGCATGGGAGCATGCGCCTGGAGTTCCAGCTACTCAGGAGGCTGAGCTGGGAGGACTGATTGAGCCCTGGAGGTCAAGGCTGCAGTGAGCCATGACTGCATCACTGTACTCTAGCCTGGGTGACAAAGTGAGGCCCCATCTCAAAAAAAGAAAAAAAAAACAAACCAGTTATATGTCATTTACTACTTACAAGAAGGTAACTGAAACAGTTGCACAGAAGAAGTTAAGTTATGAGAATGAGAAGCGGTACAATTTTTGAGACACACAGCACTTTTTAGGGGAGGGGTCTGCTGACTGTGGCAGATAAGCTGAAGAAGGGAGCTGCAATGAGACTTAGGGCACTTGAGAGACTGGGGAGGGGAGCAACGGGAAGGACCTGGCTGCAGACAAGGTCGTGGGAAGGTGCCAAAGATAGACAATTTTATCTAGGCTTAGCCCAGCATCTGGTAATCACGAAGGAAATTCTTCTTCCATTCCTTCATCTCTTTGGCTGTCAAAATTGAAAACTTAAGTTATAATCAATAATATTTTTGTTTAGTCGTAGTTTTGGGTTAAACAGTTTCATGGACTAGCCTGAAAACCAACTATTATTTATAATAATTATTTCTTTACAGAAACAAAAGACTTAAATATTCAAAACACAGATTGTTCTCAATTTCAAGGCTGCCTATACTACAATTTTTTTTTTTTTTTTTTTTTTTTTTTGACAGAGTTTTGTTCTCTTGCTAGACTGGAGTGCAGTGGCATGATCTTGGCTCACTGCAACCTCTGCCTCCCAGGTTCAAGTGATTCTCCTGCCTCAGCCTCCCAAGTAGCTGGGATTACAGGTGCCTGCCACCACGCCTGGCTAAATTTTGGTATTGTTAGTAGGGACAAGGTTTTGCCATGTTGCCCAGGCTGGTCTCGAACTCCCGACCTCAAGTGATCTGCCTGCCTCAGCCTCCCAAAGTGCTGGGATTACAGGCATGAGCCACAGTGCCTGGCTTGCCTACACTACATTTTGAATCAGAACCAGAATTTTGGTGCTTACAGAAGAAAAGCTTACACACGATATCATTTAATTCCTTCACTTTACAGAAGGTAACTGGGGCATATGAGTGTAAGATGTTGAGCTGAGGTTAGAAGTCAGTTTTCCTGACCCCTGAGTGTTGTGCTTTTCCTAGCATGCTATCAAGTTAATTGTGGATAGGATGTATTCTTCTGAAGACGCACTACTGTACTTCTTCTCTTTAATGATAGTCTTAAAGTTATTATTATTTTCTGTTTTCAGGCTCTCTACGTTAGTTCTGTTTTCACCTCTCAAGGCCTACTGGTGAATCTACAGCTTTCAGAAACCCATATTTAGATTTTCTTTCCTAGTTCTTTTTTTTTTTTCATTTTTAAGCTGTTATTTATTGAACAAAAACCATTATTAAAACACAAAGTAGAAATTAAAATACAAGATAGGTTCATACAGTCTTGTCACATCACATGGTAAGTTCTAGGCTTTGTCAACATGTGCATATAGCTTTTAAATAATTGTCATTTATCAACTTTGTGCTTACATATTTTCAGCTCTGGCTCATTTTTTTTCCCCCATAAATGAGGGCTAAATTTACTTGAGAATGAAACAACTTATTGTAGTTTTGTTTTCACAGGTAACCAGCTAGGACTGAGGTATACAAAGTAAAAGAACTGCAGTTGGGGAACTAGAGGCTCTTAAGATGCCAGTCAGCTGAGAAGTCACTGTGGCAAGAGAAGAACTGACAGAACTGTGCACGAGGCAGGTGCAGGGTCAAACGAGTTGAATAAGAAAGCTGGTAGCTAGAGAGGCAGGGTCCCCTGGGATAAGAAGTCCATGAAACAAACATTCCAATCTCAGAATGTAGCAGCTTTCTAACGTACTAATGCCTCCTCTTTTTATTTTTTTACATCATGAGAATGAAAGCAATATCCATTGGTAAACATATGCAAAGGTTACAAAGACAGTAAATTAAAGACTAGAAAATGATAAAATCTTGGACTATCAGTTATACCATACTAGTAAACCAGGAAGGGAGCATAAAACTTACTTTCACTAGCCACATGATTAGCTGGAAAATAACCTTCCTGTCCCTTTCCTATGCTGCCATACCACCAGTCTTCATTATCTTTGAAAAACACTCGGATAATGTCTCCACGATGGATGGTTAGTTCATCTGATCGATTCGCTGTGTAGTCATAAAGAGCCACTACCTAAGAGAGAGATAAGACCACCACAGCTTTATCACAACTGTACCACAGAGAAAACCCCCAACATTCACTTCCTCTTGCAGAAGAGCAGCTGAAACCAAAGCAGTACTTTGGTAAGTGTGAGGCTGTCTCAAGGTTTGCTAATGGGATGAGGGGTGGTGGGAACACAGCAGGAGAAGCAAGATAAAAGACTGTGGGATTGAGAAATGGTTATGAGCATTCAATACACTAAGATTAGCTTCAAAATAGCAGATGTTAATTTTTTTAAGTAAATTACTTGTGAAGCAAATAAAAAAAAGTTCGCATACCATTTACTTTTTTAGAATTGTTTTATACTACCTTTAAGTCTCATTCTCTGTGCTAAGCAGATGCCTCTGAAAAAAAATTCTTCAGAAGGTCTACAGTTTTACAAAAAGGAAGAACTCAGTGGAACAATGTGATTGCATCGCTTGGTTTACTGTTAATGTCTCTTTTTGAGATAAATTTCTCTACATACACATAAATTTTTTATGTTTTACATCAACAACTTAAACCTTCTATCTTTAAAAAGTATCCTTATAAGTTATTTTTACTTGATACGAATTTAAGAGGAAAAGCCTTTTTATGAGAATCCTCTTCTCTGTGTTAAGGTAATCCTATTTGGTTTCCTTTTCTTTTGAAAACCCAAGTCAAAATGATATGGCAGTGGCTGCACAGGAATTTAAAAATCCTTGGCTGGGCATGATGGTTCATGCCTGTAATCTCAGCACTTTGGGAGGCCGAGGCAGGAGGACTGCTTGAAGCCAAGAGTTTGAGATCAACCTGAGCAACAAAGCCAGACCTTCATCTCTATACAAAAAAATTAAAAAAAATTAGTTGGGTGTGGTAGTGTGTGCCTGCAGTCCTAGCCACTCAGGAGGCTGAGGTGGGAGGATCACTTGAGCCCCAGGGTTTGGAGGCTGCAGTGAGCTATGACTGCACCATGACACTTCAGCCTAGGTGCCTGGGTGCCTGGGTGACGCAGAAAGACCTTGTCTCTAAAAAAAAAAAAAAGAAAAGAAAATCTCTTATAGTAGTTAAAAGGAGGAAGACCTCAATTCATTTTAGATTTAGATCTGATATACTGTATAAAGCAGGACATAACAACATCTATACTAAATAATACATTTATGCTGTTTTCCCCTCTACTTAAACAGTATCTGAAAATGTATAGCTTATACAACTACATATGTAATGGAAAATTACATATATATATATTATGTCTCAGTGTGCACAGCACGTGTGAGTCCAGGGAAGAGACACTTAAGAATCCAGTGTGGTGGAACCTGGCATTAGATGTGAGAGCTGAGAGAGAAGGGTACGAGAAGCTGAGGCTAATGGAGTAAGTAGGGCTCAGATCATGCGTGTTGAAAAAGTTCAGACTCAATAATATGGCCAATGGAAAGGCACAGAAGGGTTTTAACCAGAGGATTCCATTACAGTTCACATAGCTGTTTCTGGTACCTTTTAATCCATTTAACAATATTTATTAACACATCAACCAGGCAATTCTAACAAATGAGTTTGGACTTAACCGCTGTCACCATATAAGAGCAGTAATGATAATTTAATTCAAATGGCTCAAATGCAATGCCTATTGTACAGCTTAGCATAGTATCTAATTTACAACATGTGATGCAGGGTATTATTTAAAATGTACTGAGTGCTTACCATGTTCTAGATACCATGCTAGTTGTTTAGGTGTTATTCTGCTTAATCCTTATGACAACTTGGTGAGGCCATGTATCCTTATTTCCATTTTATAAAAGAGGAATTTGATGTCCAGAGAAATTTAGGAACTTCCCTAAAGTCAAGTAAACTAGTAAGTGATAGAATCAAGACTTAAACTCAGTCTCAATCTCTCTCCTTCCTTTCCTTCTTTCTTTCTTTTCCCCTAGTTCCAAGAAACTCTATGATGGTTCGTTCCTGTTGTTCCTTATCCTGGCTGTGGTACACTGAAACACCACAACTTTAATGAGTCTCATGCAAATATGAGGTGAACGTATGCTTATTTGTCTGGAGCCCTAGGTGGCTGTTGGGAAGGAGAACAGGTGAGATTCAGCTTAGGCAACAGAATCACTTAGGAAATCCTGCATCATGCTGTGTCACTGTGTGAACCTTGGAAAATCTGAAGCTTATCAAGTGAAGTCTGAAAAATTTTCCTGAATTTTACACACAGGGGTGTCTTGATAAAAGAATCCCTTCAAGGCACAGGGGTCCAAAAAACCTATGAGAGTCGACATTACACCTTTTCTATTATAGTACCCACTGATTCTTCTCTTCTTACAGAACCAAATACACACATTAATTTTGCATGGCCCACTAGTACCTGTAAACATGTTTTGCACTCTGTGACTGTTATGGACTGAACTGTGTCACTCAAAATTCACAGGCTGAAGCCCTAGCCCCCAGTGTGAATGTATCTGGAGACACGGCCTTTATGGAGGTAATTCAGGTTAAATGAAATCATAGGGGTGGGGCCTGGATTAGCAGAACTGGCATTTTTATGAAAGGAAGATACAGTGAGAAAGTGGCCATCTGCAAGACAACAGGAGAGGCAGTAGGAGAAACTGACTGTGCTAGCACCTTGATCTTGGTCCTCTAGCCTCCAGAATTGTGAGAAAATTAATTTCTTCTTATTTTTTTAAAAAATTATTTCAATAGCTTCAGGGGTACAAGTGTTTTCTGGTTACATGGATGAATTGTACAGTGGTGAAGTCTGGGCTTTCAGTGTACCTGTCATGTAAATAGTATACACTGTACCCCACAGGTAATTTTTTGTTGTTGTTGTTGAGACACAGTCTTGCTCTCTTGCCCAGGCTGGAGTGCAGTGGCGCCATCTCGGCTCACTGCAACCTCCGCCTCCAGGGTTCAAGCTATTCTCCTGCCTTGGCCTCCTGAGTAGCTGGGATTACAGGTGCCCGCCACCATGCCCGGCTAATTTCTGTATTTGTAGTAGAGATGGGGTTTCACCACGTTGGCCAGACTGGTCTCAAACTCCTGACGTCAGGTGATCCGCCTGCCTTGGTCTCCCAAAGTGCTGGGATTACAGACGTGAACCACTGTGCCCAGCCCCCGACAGGTAATTTTTCATTCTTCATCCCTCTCCCACCCTCCGTCTACTTTTCTGACTCCCCAGTGTTCATTATACCTCACTGTATGCCTTTGTGTAGGTTAGCTCCTACTTTTAAGTGAGAACATGTAGTATTTGGTTTTGTTCCTGAGTTACCTCACTTAGGATAATGGTCCCAGTTCCATACAAGTTGCTGCAAAATATATTATTTCATACTTTTTAAAATGGATGAGTAGCAGTCCACATACATACACATACCACATTGAGAAAATAAATTTCTGTAAAACCACCCAGTCTGTGGTATTTTGTTAGGCCAGCCCTAGCAGGCTAGTACACTTTTAAACCTGATGGTATCAGATGAACCACTTACTACCACCCCAGCCTAAAACTACAAATGGGTAATGCCTCACTTGTATCCATTTCAGGTCCTCAGTAACTTACAGAACCGTGTTCCACACTATTAAGCTGTCATCTCCGGATGAAGCAATGTCTTTATCATAAAACTCTACAACCAGCATCCCTGGGAGGGTGATGACTGGTGATGCTACATTCTCTAAAGCAAAGAAATTGGAGCATGTCATCATAATACCATTGTTGACATTTAAGTACAGGCAGACCTCATTTTATTGTATTTCACAGTGTGGTGTTATAATATGTATTATGTTTCTGTTTTCAGGTCCTGGTTCATAACTCCCATATCCCTTGTTACAGTTTTTTGGTTTAACGGTGGGTATGTTAGGCCTTAGGGGCAGGCCTCAGAAAACAGAGTATCTCTGACCTCCTCCTGCCCTCCATTTACCTGCCCCAAGGTAGGGCTCTAATCACCACCCCCTACCTTTCTAATTGTAGGTCTTATGAACAGTCAGAGGGTCCTTCCGCCCTCTACCCTGGAGGAAGGAATGCTGATGTCACGGAGCTTCCATAAAAAACCTAAGAGGTGCTGCTGAATCCGGTTTGTCAGTATTTTATTGAGGATTTTTGCATCGATGTTCATCAGGGATATTGGTCTAAAATTCTCTTTTTTTGTTGTGTCTCTGCCAGGCTTTGGTATCA